AAGCCTGTCAAGGTCCCTCTGGATGGCAAGTTGAGAAGATGCCGAAGCAAAGCATCATGCCATAATAACTTTTGACTCCTAAAAGACCTTAGAGACCAGGAAAGAGTTGGCCTTTGAGCCTCAAGCAGGAGGAGGACTCAGTAGCTGTCAACCTTTGCCTTCCATGTCACAGTCAGGTGACCTTGGCAAGACCACGTGGATACACACATTTTGGCCCCTTTGAGAATGTGTGTATGAGAGTACTGGTTGGTACAGTCTACTTGGTTAGAAAGTTAAATAAAATAAAATACCTTCCTGTTTCTAAATGGTCTTGAGTTTTTCTACGTTAGTTCCCACAACAATATTGTAAAAACATCCCGGGAGTGTAGTTATACAGCTTCATTTTAAGATGCCCATGATAGTCTATCTAATATTTGGTTGTGCACCCTACCATGTATTAGGGGGTCCTGACACTGTAGGTTAATAGTAGTGACTATTTACAATTCTGTTAAGTGTACAATCACAGCAGTATCATGACGGTGTTGCTCTTTCCACCTAAACTTGCCCCTATATGTCACAATGCCTAATTCTGGTCTCCTAACTTCAAATAACTAACTTCAAATAACTTTGACTAAGTTACACAGGAGTTTCTCGGTAAAAAGCTAGGTGCTCTCTGTTGGCAACTTCTCTCCTTCCTACCATAGTTATGATAGGTACTGGTGCTAAATCGTACACTAGTCTCGGCCCTGATACACGGCTCAGATAGCCTCGTCCCATGGCCCGGGGATGTTGGAGAAGTCTCTGCTGCCTTTATAACCTCTCTGCTAGATAACTAGTACCCAGTGGAGGTAGAAGGCAGCAGTCTTGACAGTGGATGAAGTGGCCAACCACACAAGTAAAAGGTGAGGTCTGTCTTGATGCTGTTGAAGGCAACCTGATGGCAGAGTAGAAAAACACAAACTGGGCAGCAGTTTCTCCACCCATAAGGTGTTTTTTAATTCCTTTTGGGATGCATACTGGAATTGCCTTCTACACAACCTGCAAAGTCCACGTTACGTAGTGGGATTTTTGCGGTCACGGGAGTGGGAAGACATTTTTCAAAAGCTCAGAGGAGACACAGGGACAGAAGTAAGGGAATGAAAGAGAGAAGGCTCTGGCCACACCCGCTGTCAGGAAGATTGCGCCCACACACACACCATCCCTTTGTGTCAGCAGTTGCAGCACTGATAGAAAATTACAGCCTGGTGGATGGAGTAACACACGCGTGTGTTGAGCTGCATTTCACAACTCGCATACTGCTCATAGACTATGGCTGGTAGGAACATTAGAAGTCAACCTAATCCATGACCAGGAAACATACGCTCAAGCAGGGCACCTGGTAGCCAACCGAAGGCTCGGTCTTTTAGGTGACTACTAAGTAGCTACAGAAAGGCGTAGGTTGTCAGGTCACGGGCTGGAGGTGGAGAACAAACACCTTTATTCTGCGCAATACCCATTGCTTCAGCCAAACGGAGGCATTGCACAAGCTCTCCTCCGCTCTGCCATCCATCGGCAAGACACCAAGCTTGGTGCTTTTCCAGTAAACATCGCAGAGGCTTTGCAAATTGCCAGTTGCAAATACAATACCGCTTGGGTGTAAGGGTGATGTGGAGGTTGCCTGGGCCACTGTCACTTTTGGAGATTGGTGTAATCACTGAGTGTCTCCCACCCAGGCAGCCAGTGAAGCCTGACCTGTCCTTGGTGTGTCTATGGAGAGGTCGGCAGGCTCGTGGGTCCTTGTGAAACTGGTGGGGCCCAAGTCCTTTTGTTGCCCCAGGAGCTCTTCTAAGAGGCATTCCCAAGGGCCCCCAGGAGTTAGGAACATACCCTCTACAAACAAAACCTTTTGACCTTTTTTTACTATCACAAGCCTAAGGTGCAAGTCCATAGCTGAAATTCCTCATCGCACCACTCCAGCTGCTTTTGGGAATGTAATCCTTTGCAAGCATGAAAGTCATGACCACGTGGCCAAGCAGAGGAAGTTATCAAAGATATGACCAGCACGCACATCGCTTAATTGGAGGACACGTGATGTGGTTCAGCATGGTGCCAACGTAGCCGGGCTCTGACACAACGTGCTCTTTTTAACACGGGTGATGACAGAGCCACCACCATTCACACCACCAGCCTGATCAGATACGACGGTGGGCTCTGCCTGGTAATGTATTTTCCTCTGTGTAATCTAGATTTGCGTTGGAGCTATGCCGAGGGTGAAAAAGCAGTGATTGCTTTTTTCTTGGTAGCTTGCCTCTTGGTAATACTATAGAGAGAGTTACTGGGAACATTTCAGAGGGCAGATATGTCTCACAGTGTGGGAGACCCACCGGGAGGAGGAAGAAGGGAGGTAAAGAGTAACCAGATGGCCGGTGAGTAGATTTGCAACTCACGCTACTGGGCTGAAGTTAAGCTCTAATTTTTGAGAGCCTGGCAAAGCATTAGAAATCATATGTAATATTAACTGTGTATATTAAAAATAGATCTCTGCTCAGGACAGAAGACTCTAAGGCGATCAAAAAGGTTTCTGGTTTTTTCAGCCTACACTTACTTCATAAATAGTCCTCCTATGAGGCTCTATGAGTTTCAGTTCATAGGATCCTTCTGTTAATAGTGGCTTCTGGCTGCAAAAGCTAAGCAATAGAGAAACAGCAAAAGTATAGACATAGTCATAGCCCAGCCAACCTAAATGCGTTCCGTCCGTAGCATAAACACTTCAGATTAATTCCCTCTGCGTGACAATTGGCCCGATGGCATTTTCTATTGCTTTAGTTCTTGCATTATAGAGCTGTTTCTCATCTTTGTACAATTAAAAATATAAAAACGGGCCTTGCCTAGTACCATGGAATGGTACTTGCCTGTAATGGAAGCTGGAATTGGGAATCCCTTCTGCTTCCCCAGCCCTTGATATATGGTCTTCAGATACATAAGGAACTTAACCCATCATAACCATTCATAACAATGTTTAATTATAATAATAACAGTAATAATAATAATATTTTACACAGACACAAGATGTGGCTCTTTATTGCAATCCTGGTTTTGATACAAGCACTCGCGAACTCAGAAGGTGCCATCGAGCAGGAAAAGGCTATAAATCCCGAGACTTCCATGAATGTTGTAAGTCAGGAGAACTTTGAATTTCCACTCTGTCTGAAAGTTTGCGGGCGTTTAGCTGGGGAAGAGAGAGGGCTGGAGGGTATGTATGTGGAGAGGACTCAGGTCACGGCGCCTGCTTTTGTTGAGCGGTGTGATATGACGTTGCCTCCATGCCATCATTAGCAAGCATTGCTTCCTGAAGGAGTCCTCTTCCTTCCAGCAGCATTAAGGGCAATTATGAGCAGGTTAGTTAAAGAAGGGAGTAATGCCAGCCTGGATTTGATCAGACATGTTCCTGGAGGGTAGAAAGTTGTGCATGGCTCCTCTCCTTCATCTGCAGCAGGTTGCTTGGGGCCCTGTCCAGGTGAGTCCTGAACAGCTCTGAAGGTGGGTTTAGATCGACCCAACACGTGGGCAATAAAATTGCTGAAATTAATCTCTTCCATCAAATGTGTGACAAAGCGAGCATACAGCTATGTGTAGGCAGGATCACAGCTGGATTTCGCCAGACCGAAATTTCCCAATCAGTGGAGTTTTTGGCACAAATAAAGCTGAGGCAGAGCCTCAGCAGCCCTGCGACAAATCTTACGGGGCTTGTCCTATTGCCCTTCCAGTCAGCCCAGCTCAGCAGGTTCGATATGCCCCACCGTCTTATCTGCCCCGCATGTCGTCTCAGAGCGTGACATGGCATGTCCTGCTGCCGGTGTCAGCTGTCAGTAAATCCTTTTGGTTTCAATCCTCATTTCTGGAAGCATTTCAAACGCGTGCGCTGCTGCATCGTGCGGAGGAGCCCTGCTCGCGGGTGAGAGCCCACAGCTGAGCATCTCCTCTTCCCTTGGGCATCTCACCGGGGCGGGCGTGAGATTCGGACAGAGCATCCTCTCTCAAATAAAATCAGTCCTCAGCTGATCCAGAGGCACCCCGGGCAAAGCAATGTCCCAGCTGCCGCGGTGTTTCAGTTTGGCAAAGGCATCCCAGCACATGAGGGGTGCGCTCTTTGAGGAAAATAAGCACCTGGGCTACAGAAAGCTTTCTACCTTGGGTTTTCCTTTCCTCAGAGCCAGTTGATCTGCCACAGAGGGTACCCTAGTGAGGAGTATGAAGTCCTGACTCGCGATGGCTACTACGTCAGTCTGAACAGAATTCCTCATGGGAGAGAAAATCCGAGGAACACAGGTATAGCTCTATTTCACAAGGAAGCTAGAAAAAACCCAACAACAACAAAACCAAACAAAAAAAACCCCAAATAAACAAACTAACAACAACACCACCACCCACAAAACCCGAAACAAATCTTAACATAATAAGTGGGTGAAGGGATGAACCTTACCAGGCCAGGGGAGTATTTATTGTTAAAGCAAAAAATACCAAATCCATGGTACTTCTCCAATTTACAGTCAAGGCTTTAGCAGCCAGCATAGAAAAGCATTTGTGCAGCACAGCAACCACCTTTTATATCAAGCAGAGACTTGGTTTTAAGGCTCAGAGGGTGCGGGCATATCTTAAGAGAGTGCCTCATTTAATTTTTTCCCCATAAATTTGTGACTTTGGCGTTTGAACGATCTCAGGGATGAGCCTGTACATCTGAGCTTTCACGTGGTGCTGAGCTTGTGGGGGTGAGCACCTGGGGTCTGAGAGGCTTACGAGGGACATCCACAGCTCTCCAGCCTAAGACTACAAGGGCAAGCACCACAAGACAACTACAAGGAGGATTTTTTTCACCAGGAGATGTCATTAAAAAGCACATTGCATGTCCTCTGGCAGTGCAAGAAAGAGGCTTTGTTGGCCTGAATTCGGGGCAAGTAGAGAAATTCTGGTTCAGTGAAATGCATTGTTTCTTTCATATCCAGGGGCCAAGCCGGTCGTATTCCTCCAGCACGGGTTACTTGGAGAAGGCAGCCACTGGGTGGAAAATCTGGCTAACAACAGCCTTGGCTTCATACTGGCAGACTCCGGCTATGATGTCTGGCTGGGAAACAGCCGGGGGACAAGCTGGTCCCGGAGACACCAGCACCTTTCAGCTGACCAGGTTGAATTCTGGGATTTCAGGTGGGCTGAAGCAGGTTACAAAAGCATGGCAAACTTCTCTGCCCGTCAAGCAGAGGTGGGTGCCTCCAAGCAGGCAAGTCAGAGCACCTGATCCCCGGGTACGGCCTCCCCCAGACCTCCCAGTGGTGTGTCTGGGGAGGATGGAGGTACCTGTGCAGACCTGCCTGCTGATGTGGTGCCAACACCTCCCCGCACTGCTGCCTGCCTGGGGATGCCCATCCTACAGAGACAGCAGTCCTACCTTGGGGCCTCTGCGGGGACCTCCCCAGCCAAGCAAGGTGTCCACCAGCATCGTTGCCACCTCCCCTTCTCCTAGACTTTGTCCACAGAAACCTCATCCCCAAGAATGGCTTTTTAAGCTGCTACTGCCTGCCCAGAGCTGATCTTCAGAGCAGTCCTGGATTTCTTAAGCTCATAAACATGCTTCCAGTAAGAAAAAACTAATAAAGTAGGTCTGCGTTTCACACCAAAAGGCACATGAGTAGGAACAGGTGCTCCTTCTGGGAAAGAGCACCTCTAGGAGCGGAGCTGGTGGCATAATCCTGCCAGCTCTAGGTCTGCAGAGCTGCTGAGTGCTGCACCTGAGCGCACAGTTGGCCAGGCTCTGCACAGTTTCTCCACCACTGACCATGGTTGTGGGAGGACTTAAGCCTTTTCAGGGAAGAATGAGGCCATGGCAGTTTCACCCAGCACAGGGCTTTCCTAGCTCATAGGAATTTTCTCCTGGAAAATCACCCACAGCTGTTAAGTCCATCAGTATACGAGCAATGCAAGGCAGCCAAAATTCACAGGTAAGTTTGCTCTCCTGCTGCTACCTTATAACCAACCTGCTACTCCTGCATTGCAGTTTTCATGAAATGGCAATGTACGACCTCCCGGCCATGATCGACTTTGTCCTGCAGAAGACTGGGCAGAAGCAGATATATTACATTGGCTACTCCCAGGGCTGCACGATCGGTGCGTTAGAAGGGGTTGGACATTGCATTGCTTGAACCACCTTCAGAACGTTCATTTTGGTGTTCGTAGGCAGAAAACGGAGAGGTCCCGTTTTTGTGGGCTGCTGAACAGGCAGGCCAGGTAGAAAGTCTCTTGCAGTGAGAAGGCCCACAGCGGCCACACTTTTCCTACAAGACCAGCGGCCACACTTGCCCTACAAGACATCTGGGAAGACCAGCATGGTCCTAGGTAGTAAGAAAGCTCCTGGTGACCTAAGTAAGCTCTTTGCTGCCACTGCAATTCAACCTAGAAAACCAAATTGCAGTGTTCCACATCAAAACCAAAGGTGGTTTGCACAGAGGTCACAGCTTCTGCTTTTTGATGAAATGCATTATGCTTCTTTTCACCAGCTGGGCCATCATGAGTATGAGATAACCTCTGTGATGATGACACCCTTTAGTAGTGGTTGATGGAAGATAACAGTACTGTTCCCTTCACCTGGTGAATGGGGCAGGACTTCATAGAATCACAGAATACCAGACTGGTTTGGGTTGGAAGGGAACTCAAAGCCCATCCAGTCCCACCACCTGCCATGGGCAGGGACACCCTCCACCAGCCCAGGTTGCCCAAAGCCCCATCCAACCTGGCCTTGAACACTGCCAGGGAGCCAGGGGCAGCCACCGCCTCTCTGGGCACCCTGTGCCAGGGCCTCACCACCCTCACAGGGAAGGATTTCTGCCTCCCATCCCATCTCCATCTCCCCTCCTGCAGCTTCAGGCCATTCCCCTTGGCCTGTCACTCCCTGCCCTTGTCACCAGCCCCTCTCCAGCTTTCCTGGAGCCCCTGCAGGGACTGGAAGGGGCTCTAAGGTCTCCCCGCAGCCTTCTCTTCTCCAGGCTGAACAAGCCCAACTGTCTCAGCCTGTCTCCATAGCAGAGGTGCTCCAGCCCTCACATCATCTCCGTGGCCTCCTCTCGACTCGCTCCAACAGCTCCATGTCCTTCTTGTCCTGGGGACCCCCGAGCTGGATGCAGCACTGCAGGGGGGTCTCACCAGAGTGGAGCAGAGGGGCAGAATCAGCAGTAGTCACTGAAGTGCCTCATTGGCTACTTCTAACCATAGGAATAAAGGTGGTGTCTCCTTTTGGTCATCTCTAGCACTAACGTTAAGAGATCCCAGATTTCTAACTGGAGATAATGCCAGCTAAACAGATCGGGGCAGTGGGTCCAAACGAATCCTCAGATTAAGCACCTGAAGAAAGATTGACCAAGTCTCAGGTTGTTTTTCTGTTTTCTCAGCGTTCATTGCATTTTCATCCATGCCAGAACTGGCTCAGAAAATCAAAATGTTTTTTGCCCTGGCTCCAGTAGTGACAATCAAGCATGCCAAAAGTCCCGTCATGAAAATGTCCTTCCTCGTGGACAGGCAATTCAAGATGTTTCAGGTAGGGGATTACTCCAAGCTCTCCTCCTCCAAAGACACCGGTGCTAGAAAAGGGATCGTGCCCAGACGCAGTCCCCAGGGCTATCCGATGCGGTGTAAAACAGTTAATTCTGACTGATTTATAAACACAGGCATGTCACTTTGACATGTCACTGCATGGCCGCTTTGTTGAGCACGTGCCTGCCTTCCTTCTGTTGAAGATGTGGAAACTGGTCTTTCTGTGGGGGCCCTTGTTGAATTCCCAGACAGACCGCCTGGAAAAGAACAACTTTACTGTGTTGATTGTAATGACAGTGAAAAATGAATCCAGTGCTTGGGGGAGGTGGGGGGAAAGAGGAGAGCCTTGAATATTGGTTTCCCTGACGCGCATTCGGTCAGCATCGCCTCCTGCCATGAGCTGTACCCATCTCAG